TATCAGCCCCACTCAAATCAAAAACATAAAATTGTTGTTGCACTTGATATCCTTGTAAGTCCAGAAGAAATCCGGAGCATCTCCCTTGACAACGAACCGTGTGACCATCTCCTACTTCCACCACAAAAGAGGGTGTATCTTCTCGAAGCAACCCACATCTGGAAATGAGATTAGAAGAAATAAAATTATGAGAGGCTCCGCAGTCCAATAATACAACCACTTTTTCTGACCCAATGTTGCCCCAAATTTTCCACGACTTCTTAGTGGTTAACCCTGCCATCGTACATAAGGATAGCTGCAAAACAGGCTCCTACACATTGTTCATATTGATCTCTGAGTTGGCTAAAGAGGTCTCTAATCCAGAAATTTCTTCTTCTGTCAATAACAACATATGAAGCTGTTTATTGTTACAGACATGATACGGACCATATTTTTCATCACAACGAAAACAAAGGCCTCTCTTGATTTTATCTTGTAATTCTGTTTCGGACAACTTCCTGAAATGAGCCCCTCTAGCACGTGGCCCCCCACTATTACTGCTAGATACACTAGCAGCATATGCATTTTTACTTTTTCCTTCATTGACCGATCCTCCTAAACTAGAATTTTCTCTGGTTAAACTTCTAGTGACCATATAAGGCTTCATAGAACCAGTTGTTGAACGATTCCCATTAGAATTAGAAGAATAAGAAACACCTTTTGATGTCACCAAAATTTTTTCTTCCACTAACTGAGCCTTACACATTAATTCTGTCAGAGTTTGAGGGTCATACAACTTGACCTCAGCTTTGATTTCATCTTTTAACCCATTTAAAAAGATACCCACCAAATAATTTGATGTATTCCTTTTAAAAATCCCGCATACTCTTCAAATTGCTCAATGTATTCCTCCACTGTACCTTTTTGAGATAATCCAATCAAGATTTCAAAGGGATTCTTGAGCATATTCGGTTGGAATCGTACCACTGCTACTTTAAATGCTTCCCAAGATGGATGTGGATTACAGGTTTCCCACCATTGAAACCAGTTTAATGCCTTTCCTTCTAATGCTACCATTACCGCTTGCATTTTCTCCTCTTCCGAAACAACCTTTAATCGAAAATAACGTTCTAAACGATTGGTCCATCCATACGCTTCGTCTCCTACAAAAACTGGTATATCTAGCTTCCTCCAACGTGAACCAGATAAATTTGATTCCGTAACAGAACTATTGAAATCTGGTTGACCATTTAATCTGTCCCCTGACTTTGCCCCAAATCTTTCAGTTTCTTTCTCTTTACTCGCTAAAGATTCCACCACAAATGTGAGCCCTCGAATCGAGTCTTCCAAGGGTTGGAGACGTTCTTGCTGCTGATTCTCAATCTGGTCCCGTTCTTTCACAAGATCTTGAAGTATCTTGTCAACGCTATCTAATCTGGCCTCCATTCTTCTTGAAAAATAGATTAACTGAAATATGATTTTTTATTATTTCAATACAAAGAGATGATATAAGATATATACAGGAGACCTAAGCTATTTTAGGAAATATAATAATTCTATTTTATGCTAGGATCCCTTGATTTATGGGATTATTCCTAATTATTCAAATCTGTACAGATTACAAGGAAATATACAAATTTCCTGATTTATTTTTTCCTAAAATACTATTTGATTTCCCACACTCCCCCTCAAGCAGGTGAATAGATGTTTTCCATTCCCAGCTTGGATACAATCTTCTCAAAATTATGGCAGCCCAGTCCCTTGGTAATACTGATTGCTGACTTATTATCACAATAGAGCTTCATAGGTTCTTCCCACTTTATCCTCAAGTCTTCTAAGATGATTTTAAGCCATAGCAACTCACATATACCTTGTGCCATGGCTCGGAATTCTGCTTCAGCACAGGACCGAGCCACCACACCCTGCTTTTTGTTTCTCCAAGTCACAAGATTTCCTCCAAGAAAGGTGCAATATCCTGTAGTTGACCTCCTATCCACAATTGACCCTGCATAATCAGCATCAGTATAGGCTTCAAGTTTCACATTACCATTCCTTTTGAATAGAATCCCTTTTCCTGGAGTTCCTTTAAGGTACTGTAAAATTCTGTGTTGAAAGTCCCACATCGCCTACAACGAAGCCTGCCGGACCAGGCAAATGGTACTTTTGACCCAACTAAAGGGCAACTTTTGGCCCATGACAATAACCGGAAACATGTTAGGCTTTGGCTCTGATACCATGTTAAGGTTCCAACATAAAACCAATTGGCTATATGTGGAGTAGCCTAACATGTATTTAAACCATACCAAATGATATGAGGTAGGCGATGTGGGACTTTCATGTTAGGATCGAGCGCTTACCACTAGCGCCAAAAGCTATAGCCATTAGTCAGAGCGCAACTCTTTTTACTTAAGAGTAACAGCCCAAGCGCCACGATTCGATTGTGACTCGGCCCACCCGGCCTCTGCCACAGGACAATTGATGCTACCTGCAACAATCTCCCCCTCAGCAATTGTCCTACGAGGAATCCCACTTGGATTGTGACTTGGCCCATCTAGCCTACGCCACCGATTGTGACTTGGCCCACTGGCTCGCGCCACGGGACAATTGTGCAACCTGCAACAATCTCCCCCTTAACAATTGCCCACCAGGAATCGAACTCGTGACCTTGGCTCGATACCATTGTTAGGATCGAGCGCTTACCACTAGGCCAAAAGCTATAGCCATTAGTCGAGCGCAACTCTTTTACTTTAACGACCCAAGCGCCACGATTCAATTGTGACTCGGCCCACCCGACCTTCGTCACGGGACAATTGATGCTACCCGCAACAATCTCCCCTCAGCAATTGTCCTACAAGGTATCCCACTCTTGGATTGTGACTTGGCCCACCGGCCTCCGCCACGGGACAATTGTGCAACCTCGCAATAATAATTGTTAGGATCGAGCGCTTACCACTAGGCCAAAAGCTATAGCCATTAGTCGAGCGCAACTCTTTTTACTTTAACGACCCAAGCGCCACGATTCAATTGTGACTCGGCCCACCGACCTTCGTCACGGGACAATTGATGCTACTCGCAACAATCTCCCCCTCACCAATTGTCCTACAAGGTATCCCACTCTTGGATTGTGACTTGGCCCACCTGGCCTCGCCACGGGACAATTGTGCAACCTCGCAACAATCTCCCCTCAACAATTGCCCACCAGGAATCGAACTCGTGACCTTGGCTCGATACCAATTGTTAGGATCGAGCGCTTACCACTAGGCCAAAAGCTATAGCCATTAGTCAGAGCGCAACTCTTTTTACTTTAACAGCCCAAGCGCCACGATTCAATTGTGACTCGGCCCACCTGACCTTCGTCACAGGACAATTGATGCTACCTGCAACATTTCAACACACCCCCTCCAACGAAGCCTGCCGGACCAGGCAAAGGGTACTTTTGACCCAACTAAAGGGCAACTTTTGGCCCATGACAATAACCGGAAAGATGTTAGGCTTTGGCTCTGATACCATCTTGAAAAATAGATTAACTGAAATATGATTTTTTATTATTTCAATACAAAGAGATGATATAAGATATATACAGGAGACCTAAGCTATTTTAGGAAATATAATAACTCTATTTTATGCTAGGATCCCTTGATTTATGGGATTGTTCCTAATTATTCAAATCTGTACAGATTACAAGGAAATATACAAATTTCCTGATTTATTTTTTCCTAAAATACTATTTGATTTCCCACAATTCTTGTATTAACCATTCCTTGATGCAACCCTTCCCACAGCCAAAGTCAAGACTACTGATACCATAAATTGAATATACCTCTTATTAATATGAATTGACGTATCTATGAGATAGTACAAAATTTCCTCAGAGTGTAATGATAATACACTTTACAGCTGTAAACAATCTTCCCAATCCTACCCTTTTTCTCTCCAATCGAGATCACCCTGAAACTCTATTTTCTTATCTTCCCTCAGCCTTCACTGACAGACTTATATACTAAGTGTGTTCTGTCTAAAAAAAATTACAATGCCGACTGTTTTTTTTTTTTAACCCGTTTTTTCTCTCCTTTTATATATTAACCTATATCTATCACTATGCCATACCTAACAATCATTATATATGTTGACCTGCATTACTTCACCCTGCCAAAATAACTTTTTATTGCATTTTAGGCAAGAATTGTTGCTAGCTCGTGAAAAGCACAAGGAAGAGCAAGTGATGGCGCTGAAGCACTCCATGCAAACTGGAATGGTTGGGTTCTTGCTGGATTTACCTTATGGCAATTTTTGATATCGTGTCATTTTGTTAATGCAAGGTTCTTTTGTAACGTTGGCATGCAATAATCGACAGGCACAGGCAATGAAAGAGCAAGCTCAACTTAGGGAGGAGATGGCTTACCAGTACAAACTTGGAAACTTTGAGGTCAGAGTTATATGATGAACTCCTATTTTGAGATTGGTTTTAGCTTTTAAGCCTCCGCTAAAATTAGCTGCTATTTTATCACTATAGGCTGCTGCTGCTATCCAGAGAAGGTTGGATCCTGATGCTGCCATATAGTTGGACGTTACTTGCAGTAAACGAGGAACTGGGATGATAGGGCAGCAATAACCCCGTCACGATGACAGGTTAATGATGATCCTCGCCACAACGATTAATTTTTATGCCAACCGTGTCTTTTGGCCTAGTGTTAGCATGACATTGATAAGTTATGTTCTGATGGATGAGTAAATTTTCACTGTTACTGGCTCTTCTATACGTCTACCTTAGCTAATGGAATGTAATGCTTTCTCACATGATGGAGATTTTGACAAGTAATTGAACAAAGGATCGTTTCAAATCTGTAAAAGTTCAAGTTACATATGCATGGCTTCAAAATTGTCTATCACTCACCTCTCGGACATACTCAAATTGACTATTGCTATACAAGTCTTGTTAGTATTTGCAGTTCATCTTTTCAAATGTTCTCGTGTGAGCATTGGCAAACAGCCATTAAGCTTCCAAATCTTGTTCAAACAAACTAATCCAGAACAAAACCTCCATCTAGAAGTGCTAATATTGACTGGTTGGAAAGAATTTTATTTCCTAGAATCTCCTGAATTTTCTTTCATGTACAAGAGGCGAACAAAGAAAAAAAAAAACTATTCCTAATTTACTTAGTGTGATTTTATTATAATAAATAAAAATGGCATTGCCACTAATTGAACTTTGATCAAAATGTAAGAATCCAATATCTGGAGGAATTCCATACAAATCAAACCTCAAAGAATTTGATAATTTAAACTACAATATGTTGAGACTGATAGTAGAGAACGTAATTTTGACAGAATTTGATTCCTTTTTGTTAAGTTCTTTCGGTAAGGAATATCAATTGTTAGATCCTTCAAAACCTTTGCATTTTCTAAAATAAACTTGATAAATTGCAGATCATCTTGGGAGAGACCACATCCTCTAAATGTAAACGCGGTAAGGTGCGAGCTAAGACAAGTAATTGGTCTTGTTAAACGTGTCCACTCTGCTTCTACTTCACGATGTTCAGAGTTATCAGATGAGTATGTACAACTTTCCCAATCATCAAATACGAATGAGATAGAGGAGTAAGGTAGCTGCAAAAAAGAAAGACAACTATTACTAAAAAAAATATCCTATAGGAGAGAGAGGAGGAATAAGAGAGTAAATATAAAGGAAACATGAATTGAAGTTAAAAAAAATGACAAACCTCGTTATGAAAAATTTCAAGACTTCCAAGTATGGGGCATTTTGCAAGTAATTTAATTAGAAAATCAAATCTAATGTTGCATAAACAAATATGTAGATGAACCAAATTGAGAAATTCTGGAAATCCAACGCCAACAGAAGGCATGAGCATGGTCTGCATGTGGATGATTTTAACAAGGAAAATCAGCAAAGCATGATATTAAATAAAATGAGGAAAACGTGTAGATTATGCTTGGATGGTGATGAATAAAAGATATTTGCAGAGGAATTACCTTGATTGTATGGCAAGAAAGCGTCAAAAATCTAGTCTGACGAATCACATTGAAAAACATAGACGCACATTCTTCTCCAAATTTGACATTAACAACTGCTTGTACCAAATCAGGCATGTTACCAACTTGAGTGGGAGGGTGAAGAGAGTCAATATGCTCCCTTTTTTTATCAAGATACTGATCATGGTTTAGCTTTTTGAGATAATAAGGAAAAGTTATGTTTTTCATATAATAACGAGAACATTGGTTTTTAATGATAAACAGATCCTTATAGAGAAGCTCTTCAAGGGCTGGACAGCCACGTATAAACCACGCCATGCATCCTGAATCTTTAAATAGAATAAGATGCAAAAGCTTGAGTGAAGGAAGACGAATGGATAACATGGGGTTTAAAAACATTTGGAAACGGAATGATAGTTTGAGGGATTTGAGGGTTTGGCAAGTGAGAAGTGAGTTGGGAAGAGTATAAAACGGAAGATACATTCGGTAGTGGAAGTTTATCTCCTCAACTTTTTGGGACACGGCTTCGGAAAGCAATGTTGATACCATGACTGGGGACAAGGTATTTCTAGATGCTCCCATGATAGAAAGGCGTTTTATGCTTTTTACTCTTCGTCCAGCGAAGATATTGCTAATAACTTCTTCTTTCTCTTCGTGCAACATAGGAGGCTCACGATAAAAATTATAATCATAAAACCGAAGAGTAAAGACCGAGGTCCAAAGATATCTCCATCTGCTGGACAGAACACTGGTCTTCATCGCATCAATGGTTGGAAGAAACGAAAGTATGTGACAAATTACGCCATCAGGTAAATCACTGATCATATCCACTCCTTCCTCTGCTGCTGTATCTGATTTCGTTGAATCACACTTTTTCTCGTCTTTGCTCGCCATTTGATGTTCTGGTTGAAGAGACCAAAACTATCAAAACCTGTATTTATAGATCCTTATCATTATTTCATCTTTTCATTCTGTTATGACTTCATCTTTTCATTCGGTTATGATTTCATCTTTTCTTTCCTTCCGCTATATTTTTTTTCATAATATATAACAAAACATCTTTTTTATTTAGTCATATATTTTGTTTTGTTTTCAATTTTCTTTTATATGCAATATATTTTGAAGATTTCATATTTATTCTACTGGTTTCAAAAACCTAATAGGATAGCTACATCCTTTTAAAAACATATTTGAATTCCGAAGATATAATCTATAAATTGATTTCTGATACGTCAATATCAATATAGTGATTTCATGATGGGTCATAATTTGTTAAACCGTTTATTAATATATTTAAATCTGATTTATCATGTATAATCTATAACAATAATAAAAGATCCCTTTCTCTATTCTTTCTTTACACATAGCTCACTATTTTTATTCTTAACATTATAATAATTATTTTGATTATACCTTCTAATGTGTTCGAACAAAAGTAAAAAAATAAAATAAAAAATAGTTATTTATTGTGATAAATGATTTTATATATTATACAAAAATAGTTACTTTATAATGTGAATATATATCTATTTTTTTAAGTTGTATTATTATTATTATTATTATTATTATTATTATTATTAATTAGGTACAATTTCATTATTGTTTCATAATTATAAAATGTTTTACTTACATGATTATTTTTCATTGTTGTTGGAATTTGTAAATTATTGTGAAAATATTAAAATAAAATATTTACAAATCCATTTCATATAAAATAAATTTCCAATTTGATTATTTTTAGTCAATGTCTTTTATGCACACAACTAAAAAAAGGTAATTAACTTAATAAAGGAAAATTATCATATTTTTAAATCTCATCAAACATATGAAAAATAGGAATTTATTAAATAAGTTGCTAAGAAAAGTTAATTGGTTTAAATATTTTTCTGTTTTGTAAATATGTTTTTGTATGCTTTTATCTTTATAAAAAGAAATTGTTAATTTTAGAACGTAATTTTTTTAACGTCTTTTGTAAGCTCTTATATTTAAATATGATTTATTTTTAGAACAACCTTAATACTTTAATATATTAAAATAATATTTCTTAAAATTATTTTAATTATATTTACATTTTTTACTTTAATTATATCAATATCTTTATGAAAATGATAATTTTTTACTATTTTTATTTATTAATTTTTTAGAAAAAAATTAAAAGAAAATTTAAACAATATTTATTCGTAAAATTATGCATTGTTGGATTTAAATCAATATGTGAGGAAGTTTTAAGAGAAGAGTATGGTTGAGGATATTTTAAAATGAGAGAAAAATAATGAATTATCTTTATTTATGAATTATATTTGAGGAAAAATTGAGTAAATATATATTTAAAGAAAGAAAATATATATAATTAATAAATAATATATTAAACAATAAAAAAATGTTATAAAAAATCCTTTAAATATTGTTATGTATTAAAAATAACAAAAAAAAGTAAATTTTAAAAATAATTATTTTAAAAATTAATAATATAAATTACATATACCATTGTTTCAACTAGTTTATTCTTAATTAAACTCATATATTTAAATACATATACCAATTATTTAAAATTATAGTTAAACAAAATTTAACAAATAGGAATTAAAATTTAATAACTCATAATACGTTATAATTTCAATCCCCTTCTTATTATATGCTAATATATGCAATCTAAAACTATTTTTTAAATTTCTCATGCAAATCACATAATTAAATAGTCATTACTCCAACAATCTACCAAACTCACATGGTCATTGAAACACTCTCATGGTTCTTAACTAAGCTATAATTTGCACCAACATGACATTAATTGATGTGAAACCCATTTTAGAAGATAATCATGTTAGAATTTCAGTCATTTTCAGCATACACATATTCTTAAGGAAAATAAATTTACAACAATCATCTTTTATATATATGATTTTTTATTATAGGTTTACTCAATTTTTTTCTCAAATAAAATTAATAAATAGAAATAATTTGTTATTCTTCTCTCATTTTGAAGCCTCCTTAATCATAGGTTGACTCTTCTCTTAAAATTTCAACACACAGTTATTTAAATCCAGCAATGAAACATTTTATGAAAAAATATCCTTTAAAATTCATTTTAACTTTTTTCTAAAAAATTAATAAATAAAAATAATCATAAAATATTATTTGTATCTCCTCTTCAAATTCCTTTTGTTATTTAGATTTTTTTTTATCATTTCTCTCCCTTAAAAAAAATCTTTTATAGTAAAGATATTTTTATAGGAAAAAAATGTGATTTAAAAATAAAAAGTGATGAAAGAAAAATGTTCATTAAAAAAATGATAAATAATTAAATTAAAATTAAATATTTATTTAATTATAAAATTATCTGTATAATTATTAATTAACTTTATGTTAATAAAATGGTTTTATAAAATAATACCTTTAAAATATATATCTATTTTTTTAATAATATATATTTTAATATATAATTATAAAACTATTTTTTAAAATTATTTGAAATTAAATTAATAAATAATATCAAAACAAATAAAAAATATATTAAATTATTCATTTAATTTTTATAATTTCTTTCATGATGTTTTATTAAAATAGTAATTAAATATATATATATATATATATATATATATATATATATATATATATGCATATATCTATTAAAATTATAAATATAAAACATAATATTTTTGTCATTATCACTCTTTATTTCTGAATAAAAAGAAGCTATTATTATTCATTCATCTTCTTTATTAATCACTTTCTACCTTACATTCTACAAATTAATAAAACTGAAGTGTTTTCCACCTGTGTGTATTATGATTTTTTTTTTAAATATATCTCTACTCCTCATGTATATCTCACTGTTTTATTAATTATATGTTTTCTCTCTCCTTTTCATAACTTTTTTTTTTAATATCATATTAACTATTTTTTAACTTATTGTTTCTCTCCTCTTAACCATAATAAAATAATATTATTTATAACCGATAATAAAAAAACAGTTAAAAAATAATTTATTTATAATATAAATAAATAACATTAATAATTTATATTAAAATTATCAATATTAATACTTAATAATTAAAAGTGCATAATAAATAATATTAATATGAAAAAATAATTATTCTTAAAATATAAGTTAATTATATTAAATTTAATTATACACAATTAATTTTATCATAAGTGTTTTAATATCTCAATATATAATAAATACTATGAAAGAATCGAAAACACCTTTTACCACTTATAGATACCTAAAATAAATCATTTATATAATTTGGACAACGGCAACGTATTTAGAAACAGTTTTTAAAAATGAAAATCTATAAAATGAACCATTGATCTTGTTGATCCTCTTTCTAATGTTTATAAGTTTAGTCTAATTTTTGAGAAGATTGAATTTTTTAATATAATGTTTAAATTTTGTGTTGAATTTCTATTGATATAAAATATTTTAATTTAAATTACTGATAATCAGAGATAATTTTATAAAATAACATTTATATTATATTTTTCATTTTTTTCTATCCATATATAAGAGGAAAATAAATATATCTTATAAATAAAAAATATTTTATATTTTTCACTAGTTTTTTATTAGTCACTTTCCACTTATTCCTACCGCCTAAGTGTATTTCCACGATGTGTATTATGATCGTTTTTCTTTAATATATCTTTCGACTTCTCATCTCATGAATATCCTCACTATATTATTTGTCCTCTTTGTAACACATTCTTTCTTATTTATTTTACTATTTTTTAAATATCATATTAGCTAATTTTTCTTATATTATTTCTCTCATCTTAACCATAATAAAAATAATATTATTTTATAACCCATAATAAAAAAAGTGAAAAATGAATTTTCTTATAATATAAATAAATAACATTAATAATTTATATTAAAATTATCAACATTAATACTCAATAATTAAAAAGTATACAATAAATAATATTAATATGAGAAATTAATTCTTCTTAAAATAGAAATTAATTACATTAATTTAATTGTACACTATTTAATGTTCATCATAAAAATAAAAGTGTTTTAGTATCTCAATATATAAAAAATATTTTGAAAGAGTTAGAAAATCTAATAGAAATATCTTGAATCTTCTCCTTTCAAGTATTCAATATTTTCTTTCTAATAAAATTCTTTATGGAGATTTCATAACATAAAGGTAAATTTGATATATAAAAGTACCTTTTAAAATAAATATATTTGATAATTTCATAAACCGGAACGTATTTACAAACATTTTCACAAATGAAAATCTACAAAATAAACTTCCAGATGTCCTGTTTTTGTCATTGAATTGTTGAATCACATCCTTTCTGGCTATTTGATGTTTATAAGTTTAGTCTAATTTTTTAGAAGATTAAATTTTTGAATATAATGTTTAAATTTTGTGTTGAATTTCTATTGATATAAAATATTTTAATTTAAATTACTGATAAGAAGTAGTTTATTCCTCTGTCTTGATATTTAGGTCACCATCTGTTAATGCATAGCATTCATATAACTAACTTTACCTTTTATGAGATCCTAATTCATAATAGATTTGAAGATGACAAACTTAAAATATAAAAATATCATTTTTAATTTAAAAAACATAGCATTGAAAAATAAAACTACATTAGCAGACGATTTAACAGTGATATGTATTAACACATAAAGAAACATTGTTCCGCATCAAATTAGGATAGTTTGATTTATTGTTTGGAAGAATTTATAATAAATAATTTCAATAAATAAAAACATTTAAAATTAATTTATACAAAACTTAAAAAAATTTAAAAACAAATTTTTTAAAAATTAAATATTAAATTTTTTTTACAAATTAGTTTGTGTATAAATAATATTATTTTTTTTCTTATAAATCTTCAAAGAAAAATTATGCTATAATTTTTTAAAAATTTAT